TTTCTGAGTTTGCTGTCAAACCAAGAAAGAAGAGATTTTAATTGTAAGATAAAAATATTTTTTCTGTCTTAGTTTTAATTGTGTTTTGTTATTTGTTCAATATTTTGAATTTAAATATTAGATGATCCATGACGTTTATAAATCATATAAAATTAATTGCTTTTGACTTTCGATGGGGTGACACCACCAACTTCCGCACCGGGTGCCACCCAAGAAGCTACGCCACTGTATCTGATCATATAAAAAATATTCACTGGCTTACTATGCAACAAAGATGGATATTTGTAAATGTATACCCTCGAGTTTTTCAAATTTCTGATTACGGATCTGTTATCAGACCTACCATAATTTCATCATGGCGGAACTAGTACGTTATCCCCATCTACCTCTTTCATTATATTTACAGCTAGGTGATGCTTTTCGACAATAGTTTCTTTGAGTCATTAGTCAATGTCAAAAGAAGAGTAATAAGCATAAGCATAAGTGGCGATCTAACATGAACACCGTCACGCAATGAGTCAAAGGACTACAATAATGTCAAAATTTCATTTAAGTATACAGTACTGGAGACCGGGGCTAGTCGTCACAATTTTCAGTAATTCTTTTTCTTTATTCGATCTGAAGCGTTATATGCACATATTTGGTGCATAACTAATATGGTTTATCCTTTGGGAAAGCTGTAAAATAATTCACAATATTAAATTAAAATGTTTCAAAATACAGAAACAAAGTCCTTCTATACTCAGATGTGATCCATGGTTATCTAGTAAAAGTAGGCACGGTCTTTCCACAGTACTTTTGACATCAAGATGAAAAAATCTAAGAAACTCCCAAGAAATGTGACTCTTTCATCCAACCTGATGGGTTTGCAGAACCTCGTGAGCCAGGAGGAGCCGAATTTAAAAAATGTGGTTTGAAATGTACCCGTGGAAAAATGAAAAAAGGAGGTATGGAATTTCCAATAGCTGATGCTGCACTTGCTAAAGTAACAAGAGTTCCTCTTTCTGATGAAACTATCGAACCCACCTGTTTGAATCCTCTTCTGGTCGGGTCTCTGGACAGTTGTAATCCCAGGTTCGTCATGTTCCAGATTTCGTGAGGCTCAAATTTATATTTTTCCATAACTGAAGGTAAATTATCAAAAAATGCGTTGACGTTCGTTTTATTGAAACTACTGGCTCTTGCTAAACTAGTTGCTTCCGGTTTGCTAATAGACAGTACAGGATAACGTTCCAGAAACGCACTAAACCAGTCAGAATCAGCTATTTTAAGGAGCTTACAATTTTCCGGCATTTTCAAGGAAATAGCATCAGCAAATTCATATGCCAGTCCACGTACTTGCTTGGGTGATAATCCAAAATAAATATCAGATGCTTTGAGCACATATTCCGCTAGATGATTTTCAAGTTCAGGCTCAAATACTAAATGATTTTTGATGTTGCCAACTGAAATTGAAGGCGCATCAAGTAATTCAGACTCTGGAATTTTCTTACAGTATCTTGCTAAAGTATACTTTATCTGAAGTCACTTGAAACACTGTGAAATACCGGGTGCGTTTTATATATCTATATTTAACACGCTCTGTTGCTGCAAAAATCGCCAAATTTCGCAGCAAATATCCCCCGTATAAGATCAAAGGCAGTTTCACCGGTCCACGTGGAGTAAAGCACGCCTATGCGTGGACATAGCCAATGAGAAAGCGTGTATTTCAGAGCTCGGAACAAGTGCAGGTGGCTACTGAAAATTGAAACAGTTTAGCCAGTGCCGTGTAGCGGTGAATAAACGTGTTTTCTTTAGTCTGTCCGTGTTTTTTCATAGATTTTATTAGTTTGTGTGTTTTTGACTTTTGAATACTCAGTTTACTTGTTGATTTAATTGTTGTGTTGATTGTGCTTGTGTGTCCTAAATATGGCTCTTTGGAGACCTTGGGAAAATGCTCCAAGCCACGAGGAGATGGTTGATGAACCTGTGCAGGCAGAATTCTTTCATAAAGATTTAGAGGAACAGACCCAAAGAGTAATCCTAAATATGTATGATTGTCTGAAAAACGAAAATCCAGATTCCTCGCAAAATCAAATTTTAAACAGAATTTGTATCCTGACAAAAATCAGTCGGTCTACCATTTATCGAGTTATAAAAAGGGGAGATGTAGTCAACCATTCCTTCCACAGAAAGCGCATAGGGCAAAAATTAAAAAGAATAGACGTGGGTTTTCAGGAAGATATTCGTCGTATAATATACGGATTTTATAAAGAAAATTTGGTGCCCAAGTTGGAAATGATACGGGATAAATTAAAAGATTATCCTGAAGATTTTTATAATTACAAATGCTTAGACTCACTGCACTGTATTGTAAAACTGTGTGGTTTTCAATACAAAAAATTAGATAAAAGAATGGTGATTATGGAGTCGTCTCGAATCGTTGAATTGCGCCAAGAATTTTTGCACAAAGTTAAAATCTATAGAGAGCAGAAAAGAAATCTGATTTACCTGGATGAAACGTGGCATGATACCCATGATGTTGTGCAGTACGGCTGGGTTGACGACAGCAACAAGTGCATTTTAAATGCACCATGCAACCGTGGAAAACGAATCATTATTCTCCATGCTGGAAGTGAAAATGGATTTATACCTAATGCCTTGCTGTTATCTGCCAAAAATGTCAAATAATCATGTGCCGACTATCATAAGGACATGACCTCCGACTTATTTGAAAAGTGGATAGAGCAGCAGTTAATACCAAACATTTCCCCAAATTCAGTGATTATTATGGCCAATGCGCCATACCATTCCCGACAGAAAAACAAAATTCCGAATACAGGCACAAAAAACAAGACATTATTGATTTTATGAAGGATAAGGGAATGGAAATACCACAAAAATCAACCAAAGCCATATTATTGGATCTTATTAAAAGACAAAAATTTGAAAAAGAGTATGTTGTTGACAATCTGCTTCAGCAAAATGGCCATGAAGTATTACGTCTACCTCCCTATTACTGCATTTTTTAACCCGATTGAGTTGGTCTGGGCTGCTTTAACAAAAAAAGTAAGAAAACATAATCAGACCCCTCAATTAAGTGAATCGCTATTGTCCACAATAAGAGATGCAGTATCTCATATTACTGCCACAGACCTATGGAAGCAGTGTTCTAGGCATATTATTGAAAAAGAAAATGAATATTGTGTTTTGCCTCCTGTAAATCCCGTTGTAATTCCTCTACAAGATGACTCTAGCGACAGCTCCGAAGGCGAGGATGATATATAAATACCTATAATGTAAGTCTTTATATACCTTTTTATATACCTACCTGCTATGTAAATATTTGCCTATGTCAAACGTTGGAATTCTGTAATTTTTCCATTTCTTAACTTTCAGTCAACATAAATTAAACTCCCAATATAAGTATTTTTTATCCCAAATCAAAAAATTAAGAAGATAGTAAAATCCATTTATTGTGATATAAAAACATTATTATTATCGTTCTAAATAAATGACCGCACGCCTATGATACGTCATGAAATTACAAAGGACGCGCCGACCAAAGGTTTTTATGCTATTTCAAGTGACTTCAGATAAAGTGTACGGTAATTTACATCAAGTCAGCTGCCACTTTTCTTATTGAGGATCCTAATCTCGCTAACCTAGCAGCTCTTAAAAGTACGTCAGGCGGCGCTTTGCCCTTCTCAGTCTTCCTTTTGAAATCTCGAACCATGCTTATGTAACCTGAAAAAATACATTGTATACATATACCTACGTAGAATGATGTGCAAAGCTAATCGTCTAGTGTGGGGGCTGGTTGTCACATGTGACAAGAGGCCCCCGTTAATTTGAGACAACCTGCCCCACTAGATAATTAATCTTTAAGGTTAGATAGCGTCACTAAGTTAACAAATTCAAAGTCAATACTTACGTTAAGTCGTATTCGGATTATTGAAGAGCAAAATAAATTCAACAGTTCTTTTTATTATCAAATGTAGTCTTGAAAACGAAAAATTAACTCAGGTTAAGCGATTTGTTTATTTTTGTGCGTGCGACCTTAATCTACCAACGACAACTTTCGTACTGAATACAAGTGTTCTGCGCGGACGCGGAAACGATGTGCGGCGCGCCAGGTAACTACATCTTGCGGAGCTGTTGAGATTTAACAATTGTGACAACCAACCCATGTGACAACCAGCCCCGGTCTCCCCTATGGTTCACAGGTTATTATTTTAACAAGAACACGGATACTAAGCATGTTTTTTCAGTAACATATATACCAAAGCTTTAAGATAACCCCTCCTACGTCAAAACGTATGATGTACTTAGACTATATCAGTTTCCAAATCAGGCGTCGCATGGTGTCTATTTCAACCTAGTTAACAAACAAACCGCATTTGAAAATCCGAAATTGGTACGTTCTCATAGCAACAATACAGTTACAGGTTTGATATTAGCATCTTCATGATCCTATTGATACTCCGCGAGTGTACTCAGAACGTCTTCATCGTGCTTGATGTTTCTTTCCATCAGTGCTGCATATGATTCTTTATATGGTGCAGAAACCGTCTGTTTGAACACAGCTGAAGACGTAGATAGCTCCAAATGTTGCAAATTTAGGACGAACAAATAAACTGCGATTTGAATCGAACTGCTTCAAGCAGTGTTTACAAACAAAACAGGGCAGTACTTGAAGTTCCTTACCAAATGAATAATGAGTATTTTTCTTCAACTTCTTGTTCAAAATCTCAACTTTCTAAACGCTCTGTATTTTCGAGAGGCCAATAGAACATTTTTAATAAAAGCCTATAGCATTATTTTCCATGTTCTATACAGTGAGGTGAAATTTGGATGACGTTATAATGTGTACGAGAGAGAAGCGCGTCTGTCGGGTTGCTAGACAACGAGGTCCTTCTATCTCTTTCTAACACACAGTGATGTGCGGTTTTCACTGTACGCATTTTTAAATTTGGACTTGATCAGCACTCAAATACTAGTCAGTATTATTATTATTGCAGGGTTTGCTGTCATCGAATTCCGTTTGCTGGTGGAACAGCGGTCTGAATGGTGCAATGAAAGGTCTAATCTACTACGGTTACGTCAGTCCCGGAGCATTGCTTGTAGGAGCCGAACCATGCGCTTTAGAAGTCCTGAGAAATGCTTGGTCGAAGAGAGTATTGCAACCCCCACCTGGATATCAAATTTCATCTTTAGGTAAAGACAATTATCACTTCATAAGGCATAATAGTTTAGTTGACACTTTTTTAAGTAGATTTTAAATATACTAAGTGACATATAAATCCGAACACCCAGTTTAAATGGTTTTATTTTAATAAAAGTTGGTGAATGCATTTATCTTACTGTAAATAACAAGTGAAAAAATGTTCAGCCTTATCAGTTGGACATTCCGGTTTTTATACTGCTTTTTTTTAATTCACCAACGCTCTAAAAATGAATATTTCAGCCGCAGTGAAGAATCAACGTTGGGGAATTTTGGTTCTTGACATCCTTTATGATCGGTTACGATGCCTAGAGTACGGAGACCTGTACGATTTCGTCAACTTAGTGAGTTTGATAGGGGCCGTATAGTGGGACTTCGGGAAGCTGGACTTTCTTTTCGGGCAATTGCAGTTAGAGAGCAAAGAAGTGTAGACACTGTGGTTAGGTGTTGTCAGGCATGGCTTCGAGAAGGACGTACGCAAAGAGCAAGGGGCACTGGACGCCGCCGTAGAACAACAGACCGTGAAGACCGCCGCCTAAGATTATTGGCCTTAAGGGACCGTTTCTCCACTACCAGGTCCATTGCAAATGAATGGTTTGCAGAACACGGAAGACCTATTGGCATGCGAAGTGTTTACCGACGAATGAGAAGTTTTGGCTTGTTTTCATACCGGCCACACTGGGTCCTCCCTTTAACTCGAGAACACCGACGTAATCGCCTTGAGTGGTGCAGACAACGGTCACTCTGGGATCAGGAATGGAACAGTATTGTCTTTAGTGACGAGTCTCGATTTTGCTTAGGCATGCACGATGGTCGTGCCAGGGTTAGAAGGCGACGTGGTGAAAGGAGGAATCCACAGTTTTTTGTTGAAAGACATGTTCATCACACTGTTGGAGTTATGGTTTGGGGTGCTATAGCTTATGGTTTCAGGTCACCTTTAATCTTCATCAGAGGTAACATGAACGCGCAGCTTTATATCCACGAAGTTCTAGAACCCCATCTTTTACCCTATCTTGACACCCTGGAAGATCCAACTTTCCAACAAGATAATGCCCGACCACATATTGCAAGAGTCACAATAGACTTCTTTCAACATAATGATGTCACATTGTTACCATGGCCACCAAGATCTCCCGACTTATCCCCAATTGAGCACGTGTGGGATATGATGGGTAGGAGATTGCTCAATTTGCAACGTCCTCCTCAGACTCTAGAAGCACTTCGAGAGGAGTTGGTGGTTGCCTGGAATGAGATGCCACAGGAGGACATTGACCACCTGATCAGAAGCATGCCTAGGCGCGTTGGAGAATGCGTAGCACATCAGGGTGCATCCACACATTATTAAAGGTCAAAGGGCTTTAAAGCAGTGCAATCATTTTGAAATTTTTATCATTTACTTATTATGCTTCATTAAGTACTTATACAAAATTTTATTAAAATAACCATTTAAACTGGGTGTTCGGATTTATATTTCACTTAGTATAGTTAATATTTGTTCTAATAGACGAAAAACATAGTACCAAATTTTTTTCAGATTGTAAAGCTTTGATTTGAAAACATGTTTTTCTTAGGCAGGCGAAAACGTTGCCCGCCGATATTAATGTATTTTGTGACGTCATACAATTTGTAAACAGTAGCTGACAGCACCATAACCTGTCAAACTTAACATTAAAAAATTTAGTAATTATCAGATGTACTGTACTTAGAAATATTGATGTTCCTCAGCTCAGAAGGGCAAAAATGTGGATTGAAGGCAAAAAATTACCAATCATCAATGTGTCAATTTTCGGCAAATTTGTGCTTTCTGCTTCTACGAATCCAATGTCCATGATTGTTTTTTTTTCAATAAAACGATAACTTTTTACGTTGATTATGAGTTTTTTGGTAAATATTTTGACTTTAGTCCACGAGTGACATAAGGTTGACGTTTCTTTGTTTACAAGTTGTATGACGTCACATCATGGCCGATAGTGTTTGCACCATTTGACATTGACAATTTAAATCGATATATTTTCCTAAACCAAATACCGTAAGTAATACTGATTTATTCTATGAAATTAGATATGAGTCAAATACCTTATTGCAATACATCCACGCCAATTCGTGTGGGAAGTAAAATCAGCTTCTACAGAATGAGTTATTTCTAGATACGTTCTCTATAAATCGGTGCAGTGATTTATGCTAACAGACGAACAAGGCAGTTATTTGAAAAAAACGTGTTAAAAACGAGTAACCATTTTACGAAAATGATAGGCTATTAAGATTTAAAGTCTATTTTTATAATGTAAGGTTTCAGAAAAATACTCTAGTCTCTCAATAGTCCGGGCAATGTCTTCGCATCTGATAGGAAAAATATTCGGATTTTGTTGGATAATCTTATTCAAAAAGGGTCTCTTTTAACGAATTTGCATGTCGCTAGGACCAAATTCGCGTAAAAAAAATTGAACATTTTTACTTCCTATGCCAAAACGCGTAAACTTCGATTTTTGACATTTTAGGAAAAATTTTTGTAGGGGCTGCTGCGGTGTCGTCGCATTTATTGGCAGCTCAGTTTTTTTTTTTAAATACGCTCAGACCCGTCGACTTTGTTTTCGAGGGGGACACAAGTTTGGCAAAAAATCACCTTAGCACGTGCAGCCCCCTAAGCGGGGGTGACACCAACCCCAAAATCTTAAATGGAAAGGGGGGTCGAGTGATACCTTATTTTAAAGGTCTTTCAATTCCCTTTTCAGTGATATAAAATTAATGTACTTCAGTTCAGTAGTTTTGAGGATTTATTTTTACGTCATTAGAAAAGGAATTGAAAGACCTTTAAAATAAGGTATCACTCGACCCTCCTTTCCGTTTAAGATATTAGGGTTGGTCGCAAATATTCGTTCAGACCCACTCGTGACGCCACTGGATTTAATAAATTTAATCAAGTTAAGGCTAAATTAGTCCCTTAATGTTATAAATACCACCGCCAAATTACAACAAAATTAGGTAAAGGATATTTAAGATATTTACGAAAAACCATTTTATTTAAATTTTAATACCCTGTATCGTGATAACGAAAAATTTACGGAACTTTTTGTCTTAAAATTACTCAAAAAATCGTCTGTTAAATTTATTAATTAACACTCTGTGTTGCTCGGACTACATTTCCTTTTTACCAATCCATCACATCCGAGATACGCCGCACCGTACACCGTGGAAATGTAGATCCACGCATTTCAGTGTACTTAAGCGCCAACAAAGATACCTCATTATCATTAATATTTCACTTTCACTCGGTTGTAGGTGGTAAATGAACGCCTTTGGCTTGTTAGCAAGAAGACGTTATTGTAGCAGATGTTTCTTTGATATCTAAGATATGTACGATAGATTGCAATGCGTTTTTGCTGCACATTGATATCTACTGTTGAACATTCCGCATCATCAGCGGCAATGATCTGATTCACTATTCATTCGTTATGTCGCAATTAGCATGCATACGATTATGTTTTCGTTGTAAAATAAATGTTGCAGAGTACGCGTAATTGTGGTACGGTGATAAATCGTAATTTAATTAAATTGGTCAGTTAATTTGTATTAAATTATCTCCAATTTTTGCAAATTACCACCTACTGATGTCAGAAGTGGTATTATTTCTCGGGTTAATTTTTTTTATAAAGGTTTAAGTGATGTGATTTTTACAAGTTTTTATTATTATTTAACTTGGCATTACACAAAATGGCAAATGATTTCCATATTAACCTCTATGAAATGGGTATCAAATGATGAAAGACAATAAGCAGAGTGGCTTTATTCTAAATTTTTTTCACAGTCACCTCTATGGTATGAGTTTCAAGTGAAATGCTTGATGGATGAAACATAATGAGCACAGTGACGTCATACTAATTCCAATATGGCGAACTATCCAAGATGTCGTTTATAATTACAATAAATTAAATATTTTTTGTGACATGGACAAAACAAGATGGTTAATGCAAAACGTACCCAAAAATCCTGAAATAGCATTCGATTTTTTCTATCACCAACGGTTTTCTTGCAATAATAAAGCTCGCATATAATAAACAGGAATAGACAGGTCTCAACATTATATATGTGCGTCATCGCAAAAACGGCGAGAAATGCAGCAATATAAGATGTTACGTATTGTAATTCATAAAAGTAGATGTTACAAATATCGGTGGGTGGTAGAAAAAAATATGTTTTTAGATTTGATTTGAGGGTCTCAAAATACATAAGATACACCCAAAAATTGTCATGTCACAAATCCTGTGTTTATTAGTGTCATCATAGTCACTCCTATGATATAGGTATCAAATTGGAGATGAGAAAAGCATAACAAGCAACGCGATAATCCAATATGGCGACCATCGCACATTGGCGATTTATAAAATTATATGGAAAGGTATAGGAGTAACTATGGAAATCCATAGTTACCCCTAAACTATCGGTATGAAATCAAAAGACTTGGGAGGGAAACACAATAAGCAAAGTGACGTCATTCTAGATCCAAGATGGCGATTTTTCATTTCCATGCTCACCGCTATGATATACGAGAAGATATCAAATTAGAAAAACACGATAAGCAAATAGCGTCGTTTGAATTCCATATGGCAAATGCCGCTTATTTGAGAAAATAGTTTGTAATAGAATGTATGCTTTTTCTATCTGTCAAACTATGACTTTTTCTGATAGATTTCGACGTTTATCAAATTTTCGCCAAAACAGTATGTTCCTAGCGTTTTCATATCTGACTTATTACAAATTAAACTTCATCTTCAGATGTGAGAATGAGGGCCGACGACGACACTTTCGCACTTTTTCTCTGAGAATGACCCGAGAAGCAACACTTCTACCAGTGATAAAGAATGCATTTCTTCGAAAAAGAATGAAACTGCGCCCACTTACTCGTTTTCAAGAAATGACGTCTTGATAGAGAACTGCGTATGCATTCTATGCACCTGTGCACAGATTGGTACAGACAGTGATGCCAAAATGACCG